GCACTAATGTGCTAATTGGGGACACTGTAAATAAATAAACAAATATTTCAAATATAACATAAACTATTAAGAATCCCAACTGGTGGGAGACTGACCAGTTGGCTAAGATGAAATGATCTGCGACGAGTGATACCGTTATAGATCGATTCAAAAGATCTTTCGACGGCTTTTATTTCTGAGGAATCACCTTAAAGTTGAGGGCAGTTTTCTAAATGTGCCTGACCATGTGCAAAATATTTTGCACGATATGCGTGCCTGTGGTGAATTTCAATTCTCTTACCATTTCAAAAATCTGTATCAATCTCAGACTAATATTGACAGCTGTTGGCTGGGAATTGTTCTCAACTAGTGGCCTGAGCTCCTCATGATAATTTTCCAGCAAGTTCTCAACAAGAGCTCTCTCTTGAAATCCCAGCACTATAACAAAAGATCAACACAATAGATTAGCAAAGAAATATCAAACGCTTACTGCAAAGTGTCTTTGGCTATCAGCTACAGCGTAGGGTGATCCAACAATCTGAAATTTTTAACCATATTTTAAGTGATACCGAAAGTGATACCAATACTTAATTTGACCATAACATGTGATAACGTTGTCATAGTGATGAGAAATGTACATTTCCTTGACTTAGCATACAATTCTTTCGGAATAATATCGAAACAAAATGCGTGGCAACACGGAATTGAGCTCTGGGAGAGAGAGTGTTTGAACCACTATTGAATACTTGAGATCGGGTTATCCGGATTCGTAATATAACCCTCATAAAGTAGATATCTTTACTGGATGTCGCCCTATTTCAATCACAGAAAATTAATAAGTAAGATATCTGCCTGGTATACTAAATTCTACAAGCATTATTGACTTCATTTCAAATGGTAAAATGCTATACGGTTTTTTGCTTCGTATATTTGTTTTTTTATTTACTTTCATGATTTAAAAAAAAAAAAATCATATATTTTCAGATGATATTATCTAAAAGAGGTAAACTTAGGTGCAAAAATATCAGACAAATACGATTATGTACTGAATAATTCAATTTTTCTAAAAACATCGTCTGTTTTCGCAGTGTTGTATACTCTCTGGCGTGAGCTATGAGAGATATTGGTAAAAGCAGTTAATATCTACCTTGCTCATGATATCCCAAGATCAGTACAATCAGATGGAGAAGTAACATCATATAGTCATACCAAAACTTGTTAATGAATCCTATGGCTTGAAGCACTTCTTGTTCGTCATGAGGACAAGAATACGCGGCCTCCGATAGACCAGATGTCTTGTCAGTTGAGGCAGAATTCCTGTTTATTTAGTGACCGGTGCTGTTTAAAATTCAACGTTGTATTTTTTGCATGATTTGACGGGTAGTTTGCGGGTGGTTATGCTGCATGTAATCAGCATATATTATTAGAATCGCTACCTTTCGGTGGTCAAATTCATATCGGACCATCCTTTATGGTGCAAGTACAGATTTTCTGCAGTGAGTACAGTTTCTTGTCTTTCCAAACTGCCGTCGACGGAGGTTGAGTTGCAAAAAAAAAAAAAAAAGCAATGGAACAATTATTCCGTGTTTACATAGCCTCATCTAAACGCGGGAATGGTTGGGAGAATTCGAGACTGTTATGCAAACACGAGACGTACGTAGTCTAGGATTTGCATAACTCTAGAAAATTCTCCCAGTCCCCAGTGAGTTTGGATCAATGAGGCTATATATGTAAACATGGAAAAAGTGCTCTATTGCTTTTATAAAATAATTCTCAAAAATAC